GACTTCCAGCAAGTGTGCGTGAGCGTGTTAGATAGGAGTGAATGGAGACGAATGGTATTTGGGACCTGACGAGCTGTTGGAGTGTGAGAAGGGTAATACATGTACTTAGTGAAGGGATTCAGGGAAACCGGTTATTTTATACAACCGGACTTGAATCCTGGAAATGGGAAGTACAATGCCTGCACTTTAAAGGTGGGGTTTGGGATATTGGCAGTTTGGAGGGATATGTTGTGTATCTTTATACGTATATACTTCTAAGCTGTTGGATTCTGGGCACCTCTGCAAAAACAGTGATTATGTGTGATTGAGGTGAAAGTGTTGAATGATGATGAAAGTATTTTTGGGGGGATTTTCTTTCTTTTTGGGTCACCCTGCCTCGGTGGGAGACGGCCGAATTGTTAAAAAAAAATATATATAGTACATTATTATTATATTATATTATATTATTATCGTTATTATTAGCACTTACGTATTTTAATAATAATAATAATAATTAATTATTATTAATTTAGGGACCTGGAGCACAGATCCAATTCCTTAGATCAAAAGCCCCTCACCACGTACGTACTACTACTACTACTAATAATAATAATAATCATTATTATTATAACAATACTAATAATAATAATACAATATAATAGTAATGTGAGGCTCAAGTTAGAGTACATAGGAAAGAGGGAAATTATTTCCCAGTAAAAGTAGGCCTTAGACAAGGATGTGTGATGTCACCGTGGTTGTTTAATATATTTATAGATGGGGTTGTAAGAGAAGTAAATGCGAGGGTCTTGACAAGAGGCGTGGAGTTAAAAGATAAAGAATCACACATAAAGTGGGAGTTGTCACAGTTGCTCTTTGCTGATGACACTGTGCTCTTGGGAGATTCTGAAGAGAAGTTGCAGAGATTGGTGGATGAATTTGATAGGGTGTGCAAAAGAAGAAAATTAAAAGTGAATACAGGAAAGAGTAAGGTTATGAGGATAACAAAAATATTAGGTGATGAAAGATTGGATATCAGATTGGAGGGAGAGAGTATGGAGGAGGTGAATGTATTCAAATATTTGGGAGTGGACGTGTCAGCGGATGGGTCTATGAAGAATGAGGTGAATCATAGAATTGATGAGGGGAAAAGGGTGAGTGGTGCACTTAGGAGTCTGTGGAGACAAAGAACTTTGTCCTTGGAGGCAAAGAGAGGAATGTATGAGAGTATAGTTTTACCAACACTCTTATATGGGTGTGAAGCATGGGTGATGAATGTTGCAGCGAGGAGAAGGCTGGAGGCAGTGGAGATGTCATGTCTGAGGGCAATGTGTGGTGTGAATATAATGCAGAGAATTCGTAGTTTGGAAGTTAGGAGGAGGTGCGGGATTACCAAAACTGTTGTCCAGAGGGCTGAGGAAGGGTTGTTGAGGTGGTTCGGACATGTAGAGAGAATGGAGCGAAACAGAATGACTTCAAGAGTGTATCAGTCTGTACTGGAAGGAAGGCGGGGTAGGGGTTGGCCTAGGAAAGGTTGGAGGGAGGGGGTAAAGGAGGTTTTGTGTGCAAGGGGCTTGGACTTCCAGCAGGCGTGCATGAGCGTGTTTGATAGGAGTGAATTGAGATGAATGGTTTTTAATACTTGACGTGCTGTTGGAGTGTGAGCAAAGTAACATTTATGAAGGGGTTCAGGGAAACCGGCAGGCCGGACTTGAGTCCTGGAGATGGGAAGTACAGTGCCTGCACTCTGAAGGAGGGGTGTTAATGTTGCAGTTTAAGAACTGTAGTGTAAAGCACCCTTCTGGCAAGACAGTGATGGAGTGAATGATGGTGAAAGTTTTTCTTTTTCAGGCCACCCTGCCTTGGTGGGAATCGGCCAGTGTGATAATAAAAAATATAATAATAGTAATAATGATAATAACAGTAAGGAGAAACTTCAAAAGGCTGCCAGTAGTTGGCACCACCATCAGCAAAACATTAGTAACCACTACTAGTACACTTTTCACCTGTCTAGACTATGTATTAGTAGTATTAGGTTAAGTCTGCCCGAAATGCCTCGGCATGAAGGTGGCTTTCTTTGCTCCAATTATATTATGATATGTAAACACATATTGTAACCTTTGCAAAGATATAAATATGTATTTTATTTATTTATTTAAGGAATATCCCTAGGGGGGAGGTTGGCATCCTGAAATTTTGTTCGTATCCAGAAGCAAAAAATTGACCAGATAACGATTCGTATCCTGAAAAATTTGAATGGTGGGGCATTCGTAAGCTGAGGTTCCACTGTAATCCATTCCAGACACCCAAAAATATTAACAAAAATACATTTTTTAAAGAATAACTATAGTTTTACATACAGAAAACAATGAGAAATTAATATAAATGACTAATTTTAATGATAAATGAACATTACATACCTTTACTGAAGACTCTTGTTGGCATATTGAAGAAGGTGAAGAGGGGAGAGGGAGTTGAGGTTATTGTTTGGAAGGGGAATCCCCCCACTGCTAAAATTACAAACTGTAATGCAGGCACTTAGCCTTAATACCAATATGCTCCTTAATCTGTACCAATCTCTCTTCAGGTAAACTCCAGGTAATATAGATTTTTTAATTAATCTTAGTCTGCCTGAAATGCCTAGTCATGCTAGGTGTGATAGTGGCCCTCTCTGTAATTAGTTTTATATAATATGTAAACCCCACAATATCCTATAATTTGTAAACCCCACATTGTAATCTTTATAGAGAATAAACTTAATTTGATTTGATAAGGACTTCAGGTATCAAAGCCCTCTCGGGTTACTTCCCTTCTTTTTTTTTACTGGCACTGGACCCCTGTCGCACAAAAAAGTCTGTCCAGAGAGATCTGTTTCTGGCGTCTCTTAAGATTTGCTTAAAATGGGACAAGGTATTGTCACTGATAATATTGCAGATACGGCTTGTATCAGGTTTGTCAGGGTGATATTTTTCAACAAAAGTTTGCACCTCATTCCACTTTGCACACATGTCCTTAATCACTGAAGAAGGCACTTTCTCCCCTCTTCTTCCTCCTCCTCTGAAGCAATTTCCTCAGCTGTGGTCTGCTGCTGTTGCAGATGAAGGTCTTGCAGCTCTTCAGCGGTTAGCTCTTCCCTGTGGTCTTCCACTAACTCTTCCACATCCTGGCCACTCACATCCAACCCCATGGACTTCCCCAGACACATTACATTCCACAACAGGCGTAGGGTCAACAGGGTCAGCCTCAAACCTTTCAAAATCCTTCTCTTGGACACATTCTGGCCACAATTTTCTCCAAGCAGAGTTCAAAGTCCTAAAGTCACTTCTTGCCAAGCCTTACCTATAAGGCTTATGCAGTGGAGGGTATTGAAGTGATCCCTCCAGAACTCTCTTAGGGTCAATTCAGTGTTCGAGGTCACTTCAAAGCACCTTTGAAACATTGCTTTCATGTAGAGTTTTTTAAAGTTAGAAATGACCTGCTGGTCCGTGGGCTGGATGAGAGGAGTGGTGTTAGGAGGCAAGAACTTCACTTATAAAACTGAAGTCCCTAAACAATTGGTCTTTCAAGTCTGGAGGATGAGCAGGAGCATTGTCCAGTACAAGGAGGCACTTGAGTGGCAAGTTATTTTCCAAGCTTGGCTAAACGTATGCCACTTTCATATTTTTCTACAATCTCTTTCTTGAATTCTATCGTGTTTCTCACCTTCATTACTATGAGGCTGGTACTAGTAACTTTCTTTGCGCCCATGGTGGCTTAGGCAGGGGAAAGCTATAGCCTTCTATAGTTAATTCTTTCACTGGTTTTCCTTTGCCTGAGAGTAAGGTTCAGGAAATTGTTCAGCTAGCAAGGACATGAAGATGTGAATGAGCTCTTAGAAGATAACGATGATGAAGACAGGAGTCCAGAGGAAATGTTGCCAGAGCTCAATGCACAGATACAAGAGAGCCAGATAACAGAAGATGAAGAAGAACCTGAAGAAAAACAGTTAAGATTGGAGCAGTTATGTGAGCAGTTCCATACTGCTGCTAAACTAGCAGACTTTTTCACTGAAGAGGACCCTGACAAATCTAGAAGCAGTGCTTTGAAATGGGGTCTAGAGCAGCTGATGATGCCTTACCATCAGCTGTATAATGTATTGCAGGGTAAAAGAAGCCAGAGATCCATTATAGAATTTATACACACTTCAATACAACCATCGACTTGAATACCAAAACCTCAACCATCCACTTCTGCTAACAACCAACAACCATCCACTTCTGTTCACAACAAACAACCATCCACCTCAGCCCAGTAGGGCCACACCATGCATCTCCACTCTCTTCACAGTCACTGACATACACTAGCAACCACAATTTAAGGTAAATATTTCTGTTGCATTTGTAGTCTTAAGCAACAAAAACAACATTATCATTTTCATTTTTGTAAGATCTGGATGTCTAAAAAAAAAGTTGTCTTTTTTTGGGGGGGGAGGGGGGGAGGGGGGTTTGGTCCTAGGAATGTAACCCTATTTTTCCCGTAAGTTCTTCAGTTTATATAACACTGATTTATCTAACACGGCATTTTCAGGAACTTAACTACAGTGTAATACATATAAGGGTCTACCTTATACTGTATATCAAATTACATTGGTATTATAATTATGTCAAAATAAAAAAAAATGTAATCAATTGGAATGCAAAACTACTATAAATGCTCTGTATGGCTCAGAAAAAAAAAACTTTTTAATTGTTTGTGTATTTATTTGATGTACTTGGGTACAGGAAATCCATTCAGTTCATTTTGAAGGAAATTTTATATTAGGGAGTTCAACTATACAGTCATTATACAATTTATACAAGAAATACTTGATGTCTGAGTCTTCATTTGACATCCGAGAGAGTAGGAATAATAAATATTTTGACTCAGTTTTTGTCTTCTTAAGTAAGGTGTAAACAAGATAATCAGTAAGTTATAAATTTGGGGCTATGGATATGAAACCCTATTTTGAATACATTTGTTTTAAACAAAAATATTAATTTCCTTACCTTGTAATCTGTGAATTCTTTCAGGCCTGAAGGTTTCCTTGATTAGTTCTTGAGGGTAATGTTCAAGGACAGCCATGGAGAGAAGTGTACTTGATAGATAATGTGGATATGTATCTATTTCACCATTATATACAAACTCCATGAGATATTTATCAATTTCTTTGAAAAAAGCCTTATCACATTGATGACTTACATGACTAAATGCCCAAAGAATTCTAGACAAATCTTTTAGGCGGACAGTGTGTGATGGATCTTCTAAGTGATGGATTAATATATTTTGTAGCTTTGTGAAAATTTCAGGATGGTATACACCAGTGTTGGCATAGAGTGCCAGTGTGTGAGCAACAACCTCAGATGAGAGTGTGTTTAAATTTGTGCTCATTATAAAAGCATTCAAAGGAGGAAAGAGTTCAATGTCTTGAAATTTTGTTGCACGAATGAGTTTCATCATTGCAACAAGTCCATAGGATTCTAAGTCATAAATAGAGGTGCATTCTTCAACTTTAGTTTTAAAATGTTGTACCATTTTTATTATAAATGGTGAGGCTTTGTCCACTTTTATATTAGATTTAAATACACCAGATGCTGCTATGCCAGCATCTTGAAAAGACAAATCTTGATAGTGAACACCCAGCTTTCTCACTAGTTTGTCAATAAACTCTCTTGATAACTTTTTTTTCTTACCAATTCCTACATAATAAAGAACTTTTACTAAATGCTGAGGCTGAAATGATTCTGTGTGTTTCTCAAATAATGACATAAAAGTGTCATACTCTTTTTTCCTGTAGATATTATTTCCATATAATATTAATAGAATATCAAAGAGCTCCAGGCACTGTTCAAAATTTCCATTCCATGCTCGTTTTTCACATTCAGAATCAATATATCCAGCAAGTTCCATTAAATATCTTGTTTTCTGGAAATTCATTTCTTTTAATACCACTGCAAAGTTTCTGAGTTCATCTTGAGTCATCAAGGATACACTATCATAGACTTTCTTCTTCACTGTTACCATGAGAGATTTCTTGGATATAATATCTTGTAAAATAGAATGCTTTAATATGGCATATAATGAGAAAAGTTTGAGGACATCATTTGCCTTTGGTACTAAACTGTGGGAAATGACAAGCAGCATCTGATGTATAGCATAAGCATCATTACAAACATTACTGTTGATTCTATCAATACCAGGAATGTCAGCAACCGAGTACTTTGTACCAGTTCTCAGATAATTTAGAATCTTTGAACTCAGTGTGTTTTCCTCCAAGAATAAAGTCTGTTTAGGTCTGGCAGCATACCCACGTACAGGAGAAAAGCCGTGTAATAAAAAATCAGTATCTGAAGAAGAAACAACATATGCATGTTTTATGGGCTTATTTAGAGTTGTTCCAACTCTGAAGGTTGTGGCTAGAACTCTTAACATTTCTCCTGAGTTTCACATAGAACTGATAAATCTTGATTTGTTTTCAGCACTTAAGCTGCCAGTAATCTGAAAGAGAGAAGTAAATGTTAACAAAATTATTAAAAACTTTGCTTCCTATAAACATACTGGTACTACAAAAAAATTATACTTGCCAAAGTAATTATGGCATTATATGCCTTACTGGCAGTAACAACCAAGCTGATCAGACCCTGATCATGATCATGATCATGATCATGAAGGCCTGGTCTCAGATCAAGCTGTGGGGGCACTGACCCCCAAAACCCTCTCCAGGTAAACAAGTTGTCAAGTTCTTCCAATTTTGGAACCCAACTTTTACTGCACCAGGTTTTCCTAATGGCTACAGTGGTACCTCGAATTTTGAACAGCTCCCAACTCGAACAATTATGTAAGTGTATTTTTGTAAGTGCTTTTGTAAGTGTATTTTTGGGGGTCTGAAATGGACTAATCTAATTTACATTATTCCTTATGGGAGCAAATTCGTTTGGTATCGGCCCTCGAACAGCCTTCTGGAACGAATTAAGTTCGTAGCTCAAGGTACCACTGTATTTGATCAGCCAAGCTTTTGCAGACTGAGGCTGACTAGCTCACAACCTAGTCAATTGGGCCCCTCAGATTAATGTAACTGTACTATAAAACTTTATCTTAGAATAAGCTTCTCTATTTTTTTTTATTTTCTACATAAGTGTATGTACCTAGTGTTATAGCAGAAGGTAGTACAGGACAGTGGACCCCCGACTTACAATGTTAATTCATTCCAGAAGTCTGTTTGGGTGCCGTTACCGAATGAATTTGTTCCCATAAGGTATATTGTAAATTAGATTAGTCCGTTTCAGACCCCCAAAAATACACATACAACAGCACTTACAAAAATACACTTACATAATTGTTCGAGTTGGGAGCTGATCGTAAGGCGGGGGTCCACTGTATTTTTAAGACAATTACAAAAAATTATTCTTACTATATATGTGAAAGAACTATGTGTCAATGCAACATTCAGATGTAAATGTGGCCACACACATATGACAGGCCCTACATCTGCTATATTTACACAGCTGATAATCAAATTCAACAAATTTAGTTACCAATATGTTGTCCAAATAGCAAACATTTATAATGTTTACTTACATTATTTAATTTTACAGAAGTACATGTACAGTACAATATGGTGCTACAGCAGTATACTAAAATACAACAGTATACTAAAATACTGTTGTGGCACCACAAAATTACTACGGTGGAACCTCGATATTTGTACGTCCCTATATTCATGTAACTCGATATTTGCCAAACTCTTCTGAGAAAAATTTTACTTGGTATTTAGACGTTGCCCTGATATTCGACCTAAACAAAACAGTTCATCTGGATGAAGTCCAACAAAAACAAAGAATCACGTGCTCAGTCTCTCATTGACTGTGTGTCAGAGATTTTGAAGGCTTTGAGGCAGGGCATGTGGTGAAAATGAAAATGAAAATGTTTATTTCCTTGCAAAGCTTACAATGCGTGGTTTATATTTTATAATATATTAATTACACAGTAGGCCACTAGCATGCCTAGGCATTTCGGGCAGACTAATCCTAATTCTTACTCTATAATGGCACAGGTTATAGAGCAGTACATTTCAATATACCTTATTGCATACTGATATAAAAGTTAGGTAACTGAAGTTATTAATTAGATTTTTAACAGTGACGCAGTACAAAACATATACACCTACCATCCGACTTACGACCGAGTTCGGTTCCGAGAAACCGGTCGTAAGTCGAAATGGTCGTAAGTCAAACTTTACTACTGAATATCAACGTAACATTTTTGTAATGACTTTATTTTGTTGTTTTATTTTGGTATTTCATGTTTTACTTTACTTTTTATGCTGTTAGTACTGTATTTTATACTGTAAGGTTTAGGATAAACACTGTGTACAACACAAACACTTGTTTATTTCCCAGAAATTTGGCATAAAAAACACGGTCGTAAGTCGAGTGGTCGTAAGTCGAGCAGGTCGTAAGTCGGATGGTAGGTGTACATATTACAATATTACAATTAGTAAATTTAGTAATGGGAATGGTTTTATCTTGGCATGATGCACTGTTCCTATTAAAGTTCCTATATTGGGAGAGTATCTTAGGCAAACGTAGGACTAACTTAAGATCTACATGTATTAGGCAATAGCTATATTAGTAATTTTATGCTTACAGTCATTTGGGCAAGTGTAAGTGCAAGATAATGAGAGTATGTATGTCTATTTTATTTTGGATGTGTTCATGGTACAAATAAGAGAATAGGTGGTTTTCATATAGTTAGTTGAAGATGGGGTGAGTTAGGGAGATAAGATGTTTTTTAACGGTAGTTTTAAAAATGGTAGTTGAGTCTGTGGTTCTGGAGTTTTCAGGCAGGGAGTTTCAGATTTTAGGTCCTTTAATTTACATCAAATTTTTGTAGAGATTTAGCTGGACACGAGGAATGTTGTAGAGATTTTTGTGTCTGGTATTGTGTCTATGGGTCCTGTTGTGACTATCAAAGAAGTGTTTTAGTTCTGGATTAATATTAGAATTTATGGTTCTGTAAATGTAGATTGCACAGTAGTAGGTTTTAATGTTTTGTACAGCGAGTAAGTTTAGGTCTCTGAAGAGTGGGGGGTGTATTGTCTGGCATTGGATTGCGTGATAATTCTTACTGCAGTTTTCTGTTGGTTATTATTGGCTTAGGTGGGTTGCTGCTGTTGATCCCCAGGCACAAATAACATAGGTGAGGTAAGGATCGATGAGTGAATAGTATAGTGTGAGTAGGGCTGATTGTGGTACGTAGTAATTTATCTTGGAGAGGATCCCAACTGTTTTGGATACTTTTTGTTGTGCTGGATTTCAGGCTGCTGTCTAGGTGCAGGACCAGAAATTTGCCCTAATTATGTTAAGCAATAAGAGTGTTGTCAATCATAATGTTCAGCTGGGCAGCACCTGTTCTGTTCCCAAACATAATGTAGAAGGTTTTGTCAATATTAAGTGTAAGTTTATTAGCAGTCATCCAGGTCGATATTTTTACTAGCTCTTCGTTAACAATAGTGTTGAGTGAGGCAAGATTAGGGTGGGAGATGACAAAAGTCGTGTCATCAGCAAAGAGAATAGGTTTAAGGTGTTGTGATATATTAGGAAGATCACTGATGTATAAGAGGAAGAGCAGGGGACCAAGGACACTTTCCTGTGGTACTCCAGTATCCAGTGGTCTTGTTGATGAGGTTGTGTCCTTAATCGAGACGTATTGATGCCTGTTAGTAAGGTAGGATTTGAAATATGTAAGTGCATGGCCTCTTATACCACAATGATCAAGTTTGTGAGCAAGATGCTGTGGACTACTGTATTGATAAAGAGTCCTAATGGATATTCATCTTTTTCAAGTGCTGTGTAAAGCAGGTCTAGCATTTTTACAATTGTCGTTTGTACTTCTGCTTTTCCTGAAGCCAAATTAGTAGGGGTTGAGGATGCTTTGCACTGTTATAAAGGAATATAATCTCTTGTGTATGAGTTTCTCGAAGATTTTGGATAGCAACGGAAAGTTTGATATTGGCCTGTAGCTGTTTACATCTGTGGGGTCACCACCTTTGTGTATTGTCATAACCCTTGCTATCTTGAGTAGTGTTGGGAAAGTGCTGGTTTCTAGTAATTTGTAATTTGTAATAATCCATTGTTTTTTGTGCTTGTTTATTGAGTGCGACTGTAAAATAAGCCACCATGGGGCCAAAGAAAGTTCATAGTGGCCAGAATGTATCCTCGAGAAGGATTTTGAAGAGTTTGAGGCTGACCCTGACGACCCTATGCCTATTGTGGAATGTGTTGTGCCTTTTGGGAAGTCCATGAGGTTGGATGTGAAAGGCCAGGATGTGGAAGAGTTGGTGGAGGACCACAGGAAAGAACTAACCACTGAAGAGCTGCAAGAAATTCAACTGGAACAGCAACAGATTGCAGCTGAGGAAACTGCTTCAGAGGAGGAGGAAGAGAGAGGGAAGCACGTGCCTTTTTCAGTGATTAAGGACATTTTTGCAAGTGGAGTAAGGTGCAAAGCTTTGTGAAGAATTATCAAACTAACAAAACTGCTGCAAGCTGTGTCTGCAACATGCTCAATGACAATGCCTTGTCCCATTTTAGGCAAATCTTAAAGAGACGCCAGAAACAGAACTCTCTGGACAGATTTTTTTGTGCGACAGGGGTCCAGTGACTCTCAAGCTGGTCCTAGTGCCAGTAAAAGACAAAAAAGGGAAGCAACCCCAGATAGGGCTTTGATACCTGAAGTCCTTATGAAGGGGGATTCCCCTTCCAAACAATAACCTCTCCTCCCTCTCCCCTCCTCGCCTTCTTCCATACATCAACAATAGTCCTCAATAAAGGTATGTAATAGTGATTTAAATATTCATTTGTCCATTAAAATTAGTCATTTATATTTATTTCTCATTGTTTTCTGTATGTAAAACTATAGTTATTCTTTATAAAATGTATTTTTTGTGAATATTTTTGGGTGTCTAGAACAGATTAACTGGATTAACATTATTTCTTATGGGAAATATTATACTTCGGTGTTCATCCATTTCGGATTACGACCAACCTTCTGGAACAGATTAAGGACAAAAACCGGGGTTCCACTGTACCTCAGATTTCGTAAATATGGATGTTTTTAACAGGTTATTTCTTTGTAAGCTGGTGTTGAATTTTAATAGCACTGTTTTTTGCCCAGCTTAGTAGCCCATCAGTTTGCAATCTTTTACTTCATCACTAGGTATATTTAGGTGAAGGTGGTCCTTGACAAGCTGTAGGGTGGTCCCCATGCATGTCTCTTGGGTGACTGAAGGTGGGAGATGGTGGCTATTAACTACAATAGCGTCAGATAGCTATTGTTGGTCATTATGGTCTTGGAATTTGTCGATGACATTGGCGAGTTGGAGATCCACTTGTGATCTTTCTTCTATGAGGTTGGTAGTATACATATTTAGTTTAGCGACTCGCTCCCAAAGGCGATTAATGGTGTGCTCAATTTCAGTGTGGCTGTTATTTTGTTGG